TAAATCCAAATCAAAACAGGCCTTTCGTATATAAGATCAGAATGGAGGTAAAAATTTCCCTAATTTAAATTTTCAGCTATTCAGTGAAATGAATGACAAAAGAGGTGGTGGAAAATGAGACAGAAAAAAAAACATACTTGTTAACCACTATACATACAGTTGATAATATGTCTATAAAGATTTATAGATCTATAAAGAAATTAGGTATATATATACATACACCTATTAGTATGCTGTATTTTATTGTGTGTATATATATAGTTTTTTTATGTGTTTATATTTCTATATAGTTTTTTGCGTATTAGACTTTTTACATATTTATTAGTTCTTTTTTTGTATATAAATTTTGTGTTTATTATAACCCAGCCAGGAAGTCATATTGGGCCCCTTATAAGACCCAAGTGGGCAGCTTTATGGGGACCAAATGGGTTGCCCACATCCTGTCTAAAGAAAATTGTTGCTGGGCATGTATTGGGGCCATGTGGGTAGCCCATATGGGCTGTATATGTGGGACCCACATGGGTCACACTTTTATTATTTATCTAATTTTTTTATAATATTTTGAATAATTATTTATTTATAAAATAGATACATATAATTTATTAAGTAGTCATAAATATATGACTTGAGTATATATAATAATATATACATAAATATATGACTTGAGTATATATAATAATATACACATAAATATATGACTTGAGTACAATATTATAGAATTTAAACAGGATATCTAACATAGATAGAAAAAGATAAACAGTAGTAGCCATTGATCACTCTCGTGCGATTGGATGGCATTTAAATTTAGAAAAAAAAAAGGAATTTAACGCTTTTTTAACTACATATATAGGCCCTAAATAGGCTCCATGTGGGCTAGCCCTTGAAGATGAAATATTTTGTATTCAAGGACTAGCCCACATGGGGCCCATTTTGGACCCATATAAAAAGCCCATATAGGGTACACTTGGGCAAACCTATATGGGCCCCAATAGGACATGTTCATTGGGTAATTGTGTTTTTCGATAGAAAAGTTAATTTGAGTTTTTATCACCACCATAAACTCCCCTCCGCCAAACTAGATTGGTGGTGGGTTTAAGAATATTCATCTTGCGCCTTTTTTATACTTTTTGTATGCACCCAGCGAATATGCCCTATTGAGGACCATATGGATTTGCCCAAGTGGGCCCTATGTGGGCTTTATATATGGGCACAAAACGGATTTATATATAGGGGATCCATTTAGGGCCCATATATGTAGTTAAAAAAGCGTTAAATTCTATCTTATTTTCTAAATTTAAATGCCATCCAATCGCGCGATAGTGAGGTATCGTTAAAAAAATAGGGTGATCAGAAAGGTTAAATTTGGTTAAATTTGCGCGCAATGGTATGAAGTACTGGGTTTATAAAAACTCTAATTTGAGTTTTTATAAACCCACTAGCAAATATTTAAATAGAATGATTGAATGAATAAATTAAATGATTGAATAAAATGATTGAATAAAATGAATGAAATTAAATGATTGAATGAATAAAGGTTTGAAGAAGACCATTATTTATTTAAGGTTTAATATAACTTAAGGTATAAATTTCCTCTAGGTATAAATTTTAGCTAAACTTTATCATAAAAAGTTTATTTTTTATTTTATAATATTAAATATATATTATAAAAAAATATATATTGCTTCTTCTAACATCGTGTGCAATTCTGTCCGCTTTCTCTATGCTATCTTTCTAACTCGACTACTTCTGCCTTTCACTCAAACATATCTTCGTTCTTCCCAAATTCGCTTACTCTTGGTCCGTAGAGCAGGTTATGACGCTCCTTGGGGAGACGAACTTGTCTTTGCGGGCCTTGGTAATGTGGCCTCTGTATGGTAACTAGCCGGAGGAGGATAAACCACAATACCTAATTTACTTATTTATAGTAGGCTATTACAATTTACTATTTCATTATTTAAATACTGTGGTATATTTATTAATGTCTATTACTGTTTACCTTTTCTTCCTATACTTGATTTCCTGCTTCACTTCTATAAAGCTAGATTCAAGTCATAAATTTATGACTACACAACAAACTTAATGATCTAATTTAAAAATAAATAAATAATTATTCAAAATATCATAAAAAATTAAAATAAATAAAAAATATCTAAGACCCATGTGGAGCTGGGACCCATGTGGTCCCACATATGCAACCTATATGGGCTGCCCACTAGGGCCCCAATTCACGCCCAGCAATAATTTTCTTTGGGCGTGATTTAGGCAACCTATTTGGGCCCCATAAAGCTCCCCACTTGGGCCTTATGTGGGGCCCAATACCATTTGCTGGCTGGGTTTTATATATACCTAATTTTTTAAGCTTTTATAAATACTTAGACCTTTCTTTTAATACTAAACTCTTAATTTGGTCACTGTTTCTTCAACAAATCCATAAATCGAAAACTCAGTACTTGAAACGCTATCACTTTTTGTGAATATGTGTTTGAATTTGATCATTTTTCACATTTAAAATACTGTTTTAAAGTTCTTTCCAATGATTTATAATATTCCAGTATTCCATTAATTTAAATATTTTATGTGACCTTTTGTTTTCACTAAACCTTTGGGGAAGAATCAAATTTCCTTTTAATTTTACATGCACATTAGTACATTGATGCTTTCAATCTTTCGTGAGGTTGAAAGTGTAGGAAATAGAGGTGGTTTTAAAAAACAATCTTTTTTTGTATGAAATGATTGAATAGGTTTCTTTTAAAAGTCTTTTTAATGTATTGAATATGTATTAATCTTAGAGTATATATATTAATCATTTCGAAGAAAATATTTTATTTCTTCAAAATGATAAGTAAATGTTCTAGAGAATTTTGATCGTTTCCAATTAATAATGTTTATAAACTTGGTCCACAGGGAGCATAAATCTATGTTTGAGAGAAATTTTGAAACTGTTTTATTTATAAAAGTATTTAGCGGTTTTTCCAAATAAACGATTTTTTCCAAACTAACAAACTACCATCAAGTAGTGTTTAAAATAAAGGGCTACTAATTATTTGACATGTAAGCAACAAGTCCGTCGGCGTATAAGAAGGCCGCATATTTCCGTAAATCGGAGTTACTTAAAATGTTTTTGATACTATAAACTTATACTATACTTATGATACCATACTATATTTATAAACTCTTCCTACATAATAAACATCACTAAATTTAATAAAATACATAGTTTCATTACCAACAACATCATGATTGGTAGTTTTTGCAGCAGCAAAGTCATTTTCGCTAAATACAAGCACGTCATCTTGCCCCGTCCTCTTGCCCCGGACTGGCTGTTTTCGAATATTCGTTTTTATTGTCTTGAAGGAAGGCTATTAATTGACATTTGTTCATGGTATTTAATAGTATTTAAATTAATTAAGTTCAAAATATGAATGATAGACAAAATATCTAACCGGTTTTGGTTTTGTCAGCAGTAAACAATCAAAGCTTCACAACTAATACAAAAATGGCTATTTCAGCGCCTTTATACTATTTTTTAACAAACAGCTTATAGAAGAGTTAGTAGTGTCCAATTAGTGCTGTCATATAGTAAAAAACTGAAGATAAACGACATTTTTCATCTTGCCCCGCTTGTCATCTTGCCCCGGTCTCCCCTACATTTTTTATTTTAAAACTCAATAACAACAGTCTAGATTTATATAAACTTATTATCACTAAAGTACAATAACTTTTTTCATAATGAACGTGGTTGAACGTGCAATTGGTTTAATAAGTTGTAGTACTTATGTTTTAATAGAAGCTGTGGAGCAAAAGTTTGAATTCAGATAAAACATTTTTCACAAGCCCATAAACACCTATAAATAATCAGTTTATAAACAATCTAAGCAAGAATCATTAAAAAAATTTCATTTTGCAAAATATGTTGTTTATTAATAAAAAATTATAAATACTTGTTTTCTTTGAATGTTAAATACAACACACTGAACTAATACGCGCTGAAAATATCTTAGAAAATAAGTTTGATAATAATTTTAACACCCGACCTCCATCAATACGTCACAAAATCAACTTTTATATTAGAATAATCTAATAACCTGCAAATTGTCAAGTGAACCGTCAAGTGTCCTTGGAGTAAGGTTTAGCCAATGTTATTATCAGTAATACCCATTGCAAAACTTCAACTTGCGTTTGATAAATGTAGCAATAATGCTTTTAAACAAGTACCTTTCCAATTTAAAATGGGAAAACCTTTTCTAAAAAAAAAAGATTTTTACATTTCAAAATGGAAAACTAATCATTAAAAACATTACAAGTTTCGTTGGGATAAATAATTTTCTAAGTTTTTTGAGACTAACTTGATTTCTTTCAAATAAAATCATGGATGCACTTGTAAGACATTGAGTTCTTAAGAGCTTTTAGCTACTGTTTTCCTTTAATTTATAACAATTTACGCCATATTCTCAGAGCTGTTCTTAAATTTGTGACATTTTACGTAGTTTCTTAGAGTTTTCCATAAGTTTATGAGATTTTACGTCATGTTCTCGTTTTCCTCTAATTTATGACATTTAACGTCTTGTATTAGAGAGTTAAAACAAGCGAAATTTATTTAGTATGGACTTTTTTGTCTTGGTAATTTCAATTGTTGACGTTCAACGTTTCAACGTTGAAAGTTCTCTTGAGAAGGTTTGTTTAATTAAAATTAACATTTTAAACTGAAACAATGTGGTTCAATTGATTTTATGGGATATAAAATATTTTTATTATGGAGCTACATTTTAAAATTTTTTTCATTTGTAAAAATGAATCAATAGAAAAATTAATAAAAAAACTACTTTAGTAAAAATTTAAAAAATACTTAAAAAAGTACACAAAATATTCCGTTTTATTCGAAAACAATATAGAAATATTTATAAAAAAGAGTTTACATATATAAAAAAACGTGATGCAATAAAAACACTAAAAAAAGTTTTTAATAAAAAATTTAATAAAACATTATCATGTTCAGTTACCTTCTTCACAATATGTTCCACTAATAAGTGTTGAACTGCATTTACAAGATGCGGTATCATCCTTGTAGTTAGGTATACAAGTTGCATTGTTCATGCATAAATCTTTTTCGCATCCACTATTCTATAAAAAGAAAAAAACCTCTAGTACTTTACCCAACACTAAATTTTTTTTATCAATTTGTACCCAGCATATATAAAAACACAATAATAGTTTTATAAAAACTTTATCGTTCAATAATTGTTGAACACACACTTTGAGCAAACAGAACAACTAAAATATGGCGGGTAGATAAAGTTTTAACAAATAGAACAGTAATTAAAATATGGCGGTACGTAAAGTTTGAACAAATAAAAACAACAAATAAAATTTGGCGAGTACATAAAGTTTTGATACAGATAATTAGTAGAAAACTTTATATTTTAATATAAAGTATAAGGTTTTATATTGAATATATAAAAAAAAGGTTTCTGTGCCTATGCCAAGTCAAGGGGTCACACTTGTACTTTGTAGAAGTTGACATATTGCTTTAAATGTTCAGCAAGCTGGAACTGGCTATAAAATTTCTTCTAAAAGCAGGTGTGTTCCAAACACAATAACCTTTCTTAAGGTGTTTTAAATTAATCATGCAACAGCTGAATGATTGTTTTGAATCAAAATTTGACTAAATCAAGCAAAAACTTGATTTCATCAACCAACAAAACACTTTTTTTTAATAAATGGCTTTCAAACCACTAAGATAAAATGGGGTAATTTCGGGACTCCTTCAAAAGGCACCTAAATATATTTATTTATTGGAATATCAAAACTATAATTGGGTATTGTAGCAAGACAAACAATTTTTCTAACAATATGGGTTTAAACTTTTATTTATACGTTATAGGCACGTTAGTTTTTAACATTTTTATTTTTTTAAAAATGTAGGATAAATGATTTTTTCTCGGAAATTTTTACCTAAAATTGTTAAAAAATATAAGTATGTATATATAAAATATATATGTTATATATATATATATATATATATATATATATATATATATATATATATATATATATATATATATATATATATATATATATATATATATATATATATAATTTAATGAAAATTTTATTCCGAATAATAATGATTACAACGTTTTGCCAACGTATAAAATAAAACGTTGTATCAACGTAGAAAATATAACCATTTTCCGACTTTAATAAAACGTTTTATCAACATTGGTTTTTAGTTGTTGGCGACGTCGCATTTTTAACCATAATGATGTAAAAACAACAATAATCGAGGGAAAAATATGTTAAAAGTTGTATTGCTCTTCATATGGAAAGTGCTACTCCCCATATTTCCTAATAATGAAAGATCAGAGAAGACTCTAATGAAATAATAAAAGATCAAACAGGAGGGGAAAAAAGAGAAGATGTAGTCTTTTATGAAGACCAGATGTCTGAAAGAATATGACTATGACTGCAAAATGAGATGAAAAGTTTGTCTCTGCAAAGATTAAAAAAATTAAAAATTAAAAAACTTTACAACATTTTTTTTTCATAACGATTTTTTTTAGTCCATTAACATCATATATTAAGATAATAAAAAGTAATAAGAAAATTTATTTTATATGCTTGCTTTTTTTAAAAGTGTTTTTCAATAAAATCCCTTAAAATGCGCAAATTTTTTTTAACACTTTATATATAGCAAAAAAAAAAAAAACTAAGCCGCACTAGACCGCACATATTGATTTACTTTAATTTACACTCTTAAATAAAGATAAAAATTTACAAGCAAATTTTCTAAGCTCAGCTAAGCGCAGTAGGTGCTTGGCTTTTTATTAAGAATGATATCGAACCGTAGATTTTGCTTTAAAAAACTAAAGAACAGTTTCAATCATTTAAATCTTGTTAAAAAAATTTTTAAAAGCACTTTTAATGTTATGGAACATTTTATAAAGGAGGATGGAAACAAACAAGGAATTGGAGGCAGGGAACAAATAATCCACAAAGTTTTACCACACCCCCCACCTGAGGGGGTTTGAACTCAAACAAGCTATGATCTTATGGTGAAAAAGCATTGCAGCTACGTTACTAAAATGTGCAGAACATAGAGAAGTCAGGGAAAAGTCAAAGATTCCAATCAATTTGAGGAAGCTAACGGACTCTTGATGTACTAATGTATGATGTACGTCATCACCTAGATTCTTATATATATATATATATATATATATATATATATATATATATATATATATATATATATATATATATATATATATATATATATATATATATATATATATATATATGTATATATATATATATATATATATATATATACAATCTAATTGAAAAACCATGGGCATATTCCGGGACCATCCTTTACTACCCCTAAAATGATTATCTGAGCGGTAATGACCACGCCTGAAGACCAAATATGCCCAGCTTCAAATTCCCTGACCGCAACTATCTATATTTAGACATACAACATATCAAATCTCATTGAAAAACATCGGGACATCTCAGAACCACCCTTGACCACCACTAAAATGATCGTTTGAGCGTTCATGAACACTTGACCTGCAATGCTTTTTCACCATAAGATCATAGTTTGTTGAGGCCTGGAGAATTTCATTAGGTAGTGCTCTCTGTTGTTCTAAATTCTTAATATACCCAGATTTGACTTTCCTGACCGCAGTTATCCATGTTTAGATATACAACATGTCCCGTCTAGTTTAAAAGCCATCAAAACACTTCCTGACCACCCTTGACAACCCCTAAAATAACAACCTGTGTGCTTATAACCATTCCAAATATTAAATGGAGCCCAAAAATGAAATCCTTGGCCCCAAAAACCTCTATAAAATTGTATCATATGTGTATATTTTACCCATAAATTTTTTTTCCATTTTTAGGCATTTCTGGTCCACTGTGCATTGAAGGGAAAAAGTAAAAATGGTCCCTACTTAGTTTGATAAAGTATCAACAAGTATTCTACATCTTAATATTTATACTTTTTGAATAATTTTAAATCAAAAAATTCTAATGGTCTACTCAAATACTATTGTTTACCAATATCAGAAAGTGTACAAAAAACCTGTATGAAGTTGTTTAAAACAAGTTTTAAAAAGAGATAAAATACAAACAATACTGATTAGCTAAAATAAAATTTGAATCATTTATTAACCCATGTGATATACTAAAATAAAAATACAATTCAGCAAATGTAAAATTATAGTTTCAAAAAATATAAATGGAACCCTTAATATATACAAGTAATATTTTCAAAATTTAAAAATTATTTTTATATCGAATAATTTACAATGGTAACAAACTTTAAGTTTTTTATAAACTTTCTGGTTTTAGCATAACAATAGCAAATTGCCAAAATTGACTTTTACCATAACAATATCAGATTGCCAAACTTGACTTTTAACATAACAATATCAGATTGCCAAATTTGACTTTTAAACATAACAAAATTAGATACCAAAACTTTATTTCATAATACTTCCAGTTTTTTAATTTCTTTTTTTCATATATTGAATTTACTGTTTCTTTAACAATTACTAATAAAATACTATTTTGTTTAACTTAAAATTATTTGATGTATTGGTGTCTAGTAGGTATGATCAAAAAATGTAAAGTTTTGCATCTGTTCACTCAATCTGTTGCTGGCATTCATCATAAAATTGAGTAAAATTTTATTCTGTTGTTCAAGGCTCAACACAATCAACGCAATCGTGAGTTTTCTAGTCTAATAAATTTCCTGATGGACCTAATATATTAGGGCTACCATCATATTTAACGTTGATTAGGCTAATAAAGTGTCGGCATTTTTCAACTTTTGCCTTAGAAAGACTTTTTCAAATAAATAACTTTTTCGTTTTCAAATAATTTACCTTATTTAGAATACCATTTTCTAAAAGCTCTCTATTAAAGAAAGATGTGCTAATCCTTTTAAACCATTATAAGTGATTTGTACATCAGTATTTTCAAACCATTATAAGTGAATTGTACATCAGTATTTTTAGTATTATTTGGAATAATATTAGTAACACTTTTGGCATTATTTTTTAAAATGTTATTTTTTACTAAAGTATTATTATCATTAAAATCATCTGTGAGTTTATTGATATAGAAATCAATGTTTTCAATTTTTGTGTTGACTATGTGAAGTATATTTGGATCAAACAATGAGGTATTAAAACAAACATAATCTGATAAAACAAATGCCGTTCTTTGTGAGTATAGATAATGTAAATGTTGACAGACAGATGACTTGCGTCCAAATTTCAATATCATCAATACAAAACAAATATATTACAACTAAACAGCTAATTTTTTTAGGTGTTATTTCAACTTTTAAACAACTATTTTAACTAAATTTATTTTAACTAAAACTATTTTGCAACTTTGTAGCACTCTTTATTCATTCAGAAGTCCGCAGTTCCCTTCCTTTTTTTGGTCACAACATCTGTAAACAATATTTTCACTAGTTTTCTTATTTTGTCTGATGACCATTCAGTTATAATTTTAGAGAAAACGCATAAAGAGCATTTATCTTGGAAACTCACTCCTCCTTTCTTACTGATGGCGTGAAATATGCTTAGAGCTTGAACCGCGGATCTCTTGCTTCTAAAGCGAGCGCTTTAACGATTGCGCCACTGCTGCGTCTGAAAAATAAAAATAAAATCAGTGTAAAACTGACTTTAACAATTATAAAAAATTATCAGTCACTGATAAGAATAAAAATTTTCAGTGAAATCAGGCTTTAAAAATTGTTGACTTGTCAAAAATTAGCTTTTGGTTTATTCCTCAACATTGAAAAAGACTTCAATAAGCATATTCAATTGATAATATATTCAATATTTCAAGCATATTCAATTACGATTGAAAAAGCATGTTAAGTTATGATTAGAATTGATGATAAAAAAACTGTTATAAAATGATTATAAAACACTGTTATAAAATATTCGTACGTATTATTTATAACAAAATCAACCCCACTTTCTTCTTCCCAAACGCATTTTATCAAAACATTAAAAACGAAAAACCTTTTATTCAATTTGAATTATATCTATAACATAACATAATATTGACTTTTAAAATGGTGTAATTTAATGCTTTTGTTA